TTGATAGATGATGAAACAGTTACGCATCATTCCGTTTTAGATATTGAAATAGTTATACGTCACAATTGTTATAAAATTAAAAAATAGATATGCGACATTTAGTTTTACACAATAAAACAGTTATGTTATGTGTCATTCTGTGTTAGATATCGAAATAGTTGCGCGTTACAATTGTTAAATTATAAGATATAGTGACACGTAACTTCTGTGTTATATAATTAAGGTGATTACGTGTCATTTCGCGTTAAATGATAAAACATTTACGCGTTGTTAAGTGTTAGGTAACAGAAAGGTTACGTGTCATTTCGTGTTAGATGATAAAACATTTACGCGTTGTTAAGAGTTAGGTAACAAAACGTTAAGTGTCATTCCGTGTTAGATGATAAAACATTTACGCGTTGTTAAGTGTTAGGTAACAAAAAGTTAAGTGTCATTCCGTGTTAGACAAAAAATATAAGTACATTCTGTATTATACAATAAAATGAAATTATTAGGTGTCATTCCTTGTTAGATGATAATACATTTAAATGCAATTCCGTGTTAGTTAATAAAATAGTTAGGTGTCATTGCGAGTTGAATGGTAAAAATGGGTACGAGTCAGTCTGTGTTATGTAATAAAATGATTAGATGGTGAAATAGTTACCTGTCATTCTGTTGTAAAAAATGACATAGTTACGCGTCATTCTGTTGTAGAAAATGACATAGTTACGCGTCATTCTGTTGTAGAAAATGACATAGTTACGTGTCATTCTGTTGTAGAAAATGACATAGTTACGCGTCATTCTGTTGTAGAAAATGACATAGTTACGCGTCATTCTGTTGTAGGAAATGACATAGTCACGCCTCATTCTGTTGTAGAAAATGACATAGTTACGTGTCATTCTGTTGTAGAAAATGACATAGTTACGTGTCATTATGTTGTAGAAAATGACATAGTTACGTGTCATTCTGTTGTAGAAAATGACATAGTTACGCGTCATTCTGTTGTAGGAAATGACATAGTCACGTGTCATTCCGTGTTGCATAATGGAATACTGACGTTTCATTCCTTGTTAGACTATGAAATAGTTACGCGTCATTTTCTTTTATATTTTCTGCCATTCCGTTTACAAAATAGGTTTGCGTCCATCTGTGTTCTATATAAGAAAAATAATTAAATGTCAATCCGTGTTAGATAATAACATACCGTGACGCTTCATTCCATGTAATATAGTAGAATAGTGACGTTTTATTCCATGTAATATAGTAGAATAGTGACGCTTCATTCCATGTAATATAGTAGAATAGTGACGTTTTATTCCATGTAATATAGTAGAATAGTGACGTTTTATTCCATGTAATATAGTAGAATAGTGACGTTTTATTCCATGTAATATAGTTACGCGTCCCTATTGTTAGATCATAAGATACAGTCAAACGTCTTTCCGTATGAGATGGTAAAATAACTACTCGTCATTTTCTGTTATATAATGCAATAATTACGTGTATTTCCTTGTTAGAAAACGAAAACAGTTTAACATCATTCTGTGTTAATTTATAAAAAAAGTTAAGTACCATTCCGTGTTGAATGATATAGAAATAGCTACTAGTCATTCCGTGTTAGAAAATAAAACAGTGTCATTCTGTGTCAAATGATAAAAAAAGTTACATGTCATTCTGTGTTATTTAAAAAAAAAAGTTAAGCACCATTCCGTATTCGATAACAAAACAGTTAAGTATCAATCCGTGTTAGATTTGAACTAGTTACGCGTTATAGAATAAAATAGTTACCTGTCACAATTAGTGAATAATAAAATAGTTACCTGTCACAATTAGTGAATAATAAAATAGTTACCTGTCACAATTAGTGAATAATAAAATAAAATTAGGCGTTATTCCGTTTTACATTATAACATATTTTATATAAACTTTTATTTCATTTTGCTTAACATAGCATCAGTAGTAACATGACACATTCATTAGTCTCTTCGTTTTCTATACACGAACATAAAGGGCTATCAACGAGATTTCTACGGTATAAGAAGAAGCTTAAAGAGCTTAACTCCATTCTCAATCTAGAGTGGTGGATTTGACCCAGTTCTAGTTTTCAGTCTAAAAATCGATAGATCGTTTTTATTAAATCTGGCATGGAATACCTAAGTTCAATTACAGAAGACAGAAACAAATACTATATAAAGACGTACGAAAGGGAATTGGACGAGAATTGTTGTCGACACGGGTATGGTGATCGTGGATACGGTTGTTACGTTGAGGGATAATTTATTGTAGATATTGCGAGGCGAGACCGTGAAACATTTTATGAAAGCAGATAATTTTTTCATATTAACGTCTTTGTTCCAATGGCATCCAGCCTGTTTCAATACATCACTTTGTTCTGATAGTTATTCCTGTGCCACCAGTAACTATTCGGACTGCTTCTAATTGGAGATCTTCCAATAAGTCTGCTGAAGCTTTAGCTAAAAGAAATCTTCGAGCTAATGTAAATTTTCATTTCCTCAAAATGTTAATTTTGGGTGAGATCTTAGATTTTATATAGTTAATAACATGTTCGTTCCAACAACGGGGAGGGGGGTTACAATTATAAAGATAATTTTCAAACCAATTAATTAGTAAGCCCCGAATTCCAAAGCTTGAACGTTTTAGAAGGCCATTATGCCAAACCCGATTAAATGGTTTGCTTATATCACAAAAGACCATTCGTGTTTATCGTTATTTCGGTAGAGTATGTAACGTTTACGTTTCCGAATTAGTCTCCGTATTTCGTTCGACATCCCAGTTGGTTTGTTTGATCTGATTGTAACAAATTTGTTGGGAATACACAATTTAGAATATCTCAAGGAGAGTATTTGTAAAATTTTAAACAGATACATTAATATCTTCTAACTCAATCAGAGTGTTCCAAGTTACTGCATTTGACTTCTCTCTAAATAATTCATAATTCTCGGGATCAAAGAGCCAAATGTTGCGTTCGCACGTATGCTGCACCGACTTCAAGGTATTAAAAGAGCATTAGGTAGGGCAGTGATATCTAACAGGTTGGTCGAGAAAACCTTCCCCAACAACTATTATCAATAATATAAATGCCACTAGTGAAGCTATGTCTAACAAAGACGTAGAAGTTTCCGTATAAAAAGTTGGAGACTACGAGTAGTGATAGGTTAAAGGTGATAAGTTTATCACATGAATGAGACGATGGTCAACGAATAGGTTAGCATATATAGCGCCTGTTATTACAAATTAGGTAAGCCTGTATCATAAGTAATCGATAGATGAGACCACGTAATAATGTGAGAGTTTGGAGCTCTATAAAAAGTACCAAATTCTCTCTGAACCAAAGACTGATTCTAACTATATACATCCAATAGGCGGTAATTCCGGGTATCGCCTTCCTTTTGCAGATATATGGTTTAAACATAAACAGATATGCCTCCGCCCATTCGGACGAGCCAACAGTAGCAGAATGGATAGGCGTAGCCAGGCAAGAATTAGATCTGTAAAATTATGGCTAACGCTTAGCCAAGTCTCACTAAATGATAAAATTGTAAAATTGTTTAATTCAGTATATAAAATGTCGAGCTTTTGTTTGAGACTTTGGACACTGAGATGAACAAATAGATAGTTTGTATTGGTACCAATAAAGTCACTGGTAGTTGACGACAAGGACGAGATAAAGGACCTGGATTTACCTCCTCCACACTAGATAATATGAAATGTCACTGAATTAGTGCACAATGTAAGCATATATAACATACTTCTATACTATAGACAAAATGGTGAGATAAGTTACTTCGGCAACATTGATAAATGGATGATATACATACACAAATATAAAATATAATAAAAAAAATGTTTACCTGTTACTGAGCGAGATCGGGGAATCTCAGTCTCGGGCTAAGATAAACACAATACATTTTACAGCGAAAATCTTATTTTACCAACAATAACATAATATAATAATGATAGATTTTATTTCATGAGGATTTAAGAACCTGTTTAGCCGCAACTAATCTTTCACAGGGTCGTCATGTTAGTAAAACATGGTATATGTTAAAATACATGATTGTTCACAACAAAAGGATAAGATTTTCACACATTTATCACAGGTACATAATTAAGAATAATACAGAATGCACAAAAATTCGTGCAAATTGTTTTATCATGAAAGGAAATTTTGTCTATTATACATACAAATAATATGGTAAAGTGTAAAAAAATGACATAGTTATACCTTAATATAGCAAAGAGTAAACATAACTGGTATTGGAAAGAAAATCTAAAACGTATTTCGTTAAGAATCCAAATAATAGCTCAATAATTTTTGTTTGAATAGAGAAAAAGATGTTTCAGTTTTGATTTCACTTGGAAGTTTGTTTCATTCTTGACAACCAGATACATAAAACTGTTTCGAATAGTAAGTTGTCCAGTGTTTCTGCTGAAAGAGCATCATATGACTTTTCTAAGATCAATCTGGCTGCATGCTTTTGAACTTTTGACGGTATGTCTAGAGAAGCTTCTGTACTTGCAGAGCAGACTGTATTACAGTACATGAATTGAGAAAAAACAAGCATTGTAAAATTTCAAGCGACCTTCTATTGGTAAAATTGGCGAATATGCAGGAGTTATCCTAAACATTGGCTGATTTTGGAAACAACCGAGGAAATATGCGCTGACCAGGATAAAGTGCCATCAATTTTAGTACCAAGTATTGTTCACATTTTACCTGGGACAGAATTTCCTCCCTTAGTGTAATATTGAGATTGTCATTGAGTCTCCAAAGTTTCTGTATAGAAGCAATAAGAATACATTTAGTTTAACTTACATTAACGACCATTTCGTTATCATTACACCAAGTATCAACATTCTCAAGGTTTTTCTGTTGTTTACTCTGTGTATCAGGTACAGGTGATCCCGAAGTCTTTCTGTTGTTTACTCTGTGTATCAGGTATATCAGGTACAGGTGATCCCGAGTTAGTGAAAGTGGAGTCTTTTTGTTGTTTATTCTATGTATTATGTAAAGATGATCCCGAGTTGGTTAAAGTGGAGTCTTTCTGTTGTTTACTCTGTATATAAGGTAAAGATGATCCCGAGTTGGTTAAAGTGGAGTCTTTCTGTTGTATATTCTGTATATAAGTTAAAGATGATCCCGAGTTGGTTAAAGTGGAGTCTTTCTGTTGTTTACTGTGTGTATCAGGTACAGATGATCCCGAGTTGGTTAAAGTGGAGTCTTTCTGTTGTTTACTCTGTGTATCAGGTACAGATGATCCCGAGTTGGTTAAAGTGGAGTCTTTCTGTTGTTTACTCTGTATATAAGGTACAGGTGATCCCGAGTTGGTTAAAGTGGAGTCTTTCTGTTGTTTACTCTGTATATAAGGTACAGGTGATCCCGGGTTGGTTAAAGTGGAGTCTTTCTGTAAAGATGATCCCGAGTTGGTCAAAGTGGAGTCTTTCTGTTGTTTACTCTGTATATAAGTTAAAGATGATCCCGAGTTGGTTAAAGTGGAGTCTTTCTGTAGTTTACTCTGTGTATAAGGTACAGATGATCCCGAGTTGGTTAAAGTGGAGTCTTTCTGTAGTTTACTCTGTGTATAAGGTAAAGATGATCCCGAGTTGGTTAAAGTGGAGTCTTTCTGTAGTTTAATCTGTGTATCAGGTACAGATGATCCCGAGTTGGTCAAAGTGGAGTCTTTCTGTTGTTTACTCTGTATATAAGGTAAAGATGATCCCGAGTTGGTTAAAGTGGAGTCTTTCTGTTGTATATTGTGTGTATTATGTAAAGATGATCCCGAGTTGGTTAAAGTGGAGTCTTTCTGTTGTTTACTCTGTATATATAAGTTAAAGTGGAGTCTTTCAGTTTACTCTGTGTATAATACAGGGTTGGTTAAACTGGATTCTTTCTGTTGTTTACTCTGTATATAAGGTACAGATGATCCCGAGTTGGTTAAAGTGGAGTCTTTCTGTTGTTTACTCTGTGTATCAGGTACAGATGATCCCGAGTTGGTTAAAGTGGAGTCTTTCTGTAGTTTACTCTGTGTATCAGGTACAGATGATCCCGAGTTGGTTAAAGTGGAGTCTTTCTGTTGTTTACTTTGTGTATCGGGTACAGATACCTGTCTGTTTCAGATTTAAGGTGTAATGGCAAATCATTGATGAAAAGTAAAAACATCAAGGGGCCCAAAATTGATCCTTGAGGTACCCCATGGATAATTTTCATGTCAGTGGATATACTCCCTGCAATAATTACTTTTTGTGACCTGTCATAAAGATATGAATCAAACCATGTAATGGTATTTGAATCACATTTGTATAATTATAGTTTCTCAAGTAACAAAGTACGGTTGACTAAATAAAAGGGTTTTTTTTAATCTAAGGAAATAACATCATTTACAAGACCTTAATCAATATCTTTAGTATTAACAATTTTAACAGGGCTGTTTCACAACAATGCTTTTCACAGAAACCTGATTATGATACAACATAGTCATATGTATTCAAATATTGATAGAAAGAGCCGTGTACATGTCGCTGTGATATTTTGGATGAAATAGGTAATACATAAAAAATGTTAACAACATCAAAAATTTTAACACAACCTATTATTTAAGGTATTACGTAGGATATCAATGTGTAAGGTGCGAGAAGCTATTAACTTATATAGAATCCATAGCAATAGTCCAATACACAGCATGTCAAGGACGGTTACATAAGTAACATAATTTGAGGCACGTGCACAATTATTAAAAACACCAGTTCGGGCACGATATAGCGAAAAATTGATAGTCATCTAAGTTATCCCGGAGCAAACTTAGAAAATTAAGCAGTGTGCACAAAATTGTGTTTTAGGATTAAGAATAAGATTAGGACAGTTGGGTGTAATGAGCAACAGAGGGAGGAAATTAGTTTAATTTCACCAAATGAAAATATATCTAAATATATAAAATGACGTCACTCACTAAGATAGTAACATTTTAGATTCATAATTAACCATCGACTATATAGGAATATAATGAAACGTTTCATGGTGGGACTGAAGACAATCAATACATGAGAACGCCTCTATCATCCTGTGCGATATATACGAATTTACTTGTATACCAATATAAGATCTCTATTAATCAAATCAACAAATAAGTAGAATTTTAAGTTAAAGAATTATAGGGACATGAAGAATTATAAAATGTAGGTATATGTACATGTATGAAAAGAGCATTTGTTCATGTGAAAATTACTAGATCTCTTCAATCAGATTAGAAAACTCATTATAGACATAAAAAGTCAAAACAATCTTTTGTTACTGTGTAGTACATTTACCTGTGTGCATATATTTTCAATTCCTGTTAAAAAACATATATACTATAAACAATTTTAAGTACATATGTTGTACTAACAAATATGTATATGCAACAATACACAAATATACATACATACATTTATATGCGCAACATGTAGTTAATGTTCACGCGCATGTGCGCGGATTAAAGACGGACACAAACGTTATTTTCTGATGTGAAACAATCGACAAGATTTTTATGATGAAACATTTAATGCTCTGTTTATTGCATACACATCACTGGATATAACAAGTCACTAATATAAGGCATATGATATTTAAATGAAGAAACTATAGACACGTGCTGTATGGTACAATTGCATGTACGAATAGTTACATGTAAGTTTGACATTTTCTTGCAAGAAAAATACACGGTCGTTCATTATCATATCAAAAAATGATTTGATGTACATGTTAGAGAAACTCATTACAGGAATGGAAACACGTTCCAATCAGGGTATAGTTAGTTGAAACTAGCTGTAATTAGTTTTAAAAAACATTGCACAAAGAGACACATTTATGAGATGATCGAAGGTTTCCTGGTGATGCGGGGTAGTTCCGGGGTGCAGATGAAGTGACTGAACCTAGTTTAGCCCTTTTCAGTAAAGGTGGTTCCTGCTTTATCATTACCTTACCGCCCCAGGTCGAGGTCTGGATCACCGTACTAGCAGGTTTTTTCACCAACTGTCGGCAGTGAAACGCGAGTTTGTACCGATGTTTGGCGAGGTCTACGTTGACAGACACTGACATCTTAAGGTTTGGCTACGCTTGAATCTTGTTTTGGTGGTGTCTCCAACGCGATGCTCTAAATCGCCAAGTTTTAGCCGGAGATCTTGGTTTTGTAGATTTAAAGATTCAATGTCGTCCCTAAGGGGCGCCATTTCCTTCTGAAACAGGTTAGACCATTGTCATGATATCATGTTTCTCACGGCCACAGTTATACCTTTAATATTGTCCGGTGAAAGGTTTACGTTATAGGGCTGAGGAATAGGGGCGTGGCCTGGAGGATAGCAAACGATATGGGTATGGTAGTTACCAGAAAGACCTGAGGGCGTCGACGTACCCACCGGAAGATAACTGAATGTACTAGGTTGACCAGGGTATATAGCGTATTTAGTAGGAGGACCTTCCTCAGTTAGTGATCCCTGTCTGGCTTTCTTACTATCAGGAAGAATTGGAAGACGAGGATGACGAATTCAGAAAATGTTTATTGGAAGTTGTAGTGGAACCCATCATGTCGCAAAATATTCAGCATGCAGTTAATAGGCACAATAACATTGCCAAATCATTGAACCGGCGCAGTACACGCACGACGTAGAGAAACAGGTTTGTACTGGTAAGGCACGTGCGGTAATCAGGTAGACTACCGTGGTCAACAAGCGTGACAAACACGAGCTAAACAGGTACGTCTGTGTCATAAAACATGGCTGACAAGAAAACTAACCAAGAGCAATAAAAATTTCAATGGGTCATTTACGCGAATCGATCCCACTGTCTGTAAGTCACCGTGGTCCAGCTGATTTGATCAAGCAGCAGGCCAAAGTCTAGAAGAATCTCACATTTCTCGGAGAGCGATGTTCCAACTGTCAAGATACCGAAGGCCGGTAACTCTTAATTAAAGTACAGTGACTTATCATTCCGTGTTAAATAATAAAATAGTTAAGTGTCATTCCGCGTATGATAATAAAACAGTTACACAGTCTACCAGTTAATAGAACTGTTTCATGATAATGTGCTTGCTGTTAATAATATGAATAATCTTGTGTTGTTTTTTGGGACTTGTCCAAAGCTTTTGACAAAGTCTGGCATAAAAGTCTTTTGCTCAAACTTCGTCAGTATGGAATTTAAAGAAAGCGACTATCCTGACTTGAAAACTATTTAAGTTTCTTCTTTTAAGCATGTCATTGCAGGAGTTCCCCAGGGTTCTGTACTTGGGCCCCTTCTCTTCCTGTTTTATATTAATAACTTAGCTGACCCAATGCAAACATTTGTCAGACTATTTGCTTGTTTATTTGTTTAGACATATTCTATTGTTTTTAAGCAAAAGGATTGGGCACAAGTTACAATAACGCCCATTCCCTTAGAAATAAACCAATTACATATATACATTTCAAGATGGCTGAAAATAATTATATACATATCATTTTTAATTAAGAGAGAGAGAGAGAGAGAGAGAGAGAGAGAGAGAGAGAAAGAGATTTACTCGAATTTCATGGCTAAATAAATACATTCTTACAAAATACATCTTAAATATATTTTAAACTATATGATACATTTAACTGCACCAACTGAATCATGCTATCACACAACACAAGCATGCTAGCAAGCCATGAAAATTAGGACACAAAATTAAACTAATTGGAAAGAAATGATTATACGATTTCATAGAGAGACACAAGAACATGGAATGTGACATGTCTAAAACCTATGAGTACTCAATATGTACTGTTGGACATGTATAAATAAATCCTTATTATCATCATTTGAGTAGTCTTCATGGCCAATTCATAATTTATCTAATCTTAACGCCAAATATCTATGATGGTTTCAGAACATGGCCAGACGTTGGTCGTTATATCTACCACATGCATTCTGAAGTTGTATTGAGTTAATGAAGATACTAAAAGGGGAAGAAGGTCTGTTAGTTATGAGGGAGTCGTATTGTTGTGAATTTTATAGTAAAGTTGAAGTTTGCGGCGAGTGCGTCGTTAAGGTAAGACTTCCAACCAGGTTCGAAAGAAAGCGATGCTCTACTAGCACATGAAGGCAGACCAGTGACAATACGCCGCCTCAAGCTGTAGTTTTTCCAGTTTATCAGCATTCGCAATCGTACATCCGTCCCAAACTTCACAACAATATTCGAGCAGAGGCAATATAAAAGTAAGATAGATTTTATTCAAAGTCTTGGGATCCAAAGTATATTTTAACTTACGAAGTATCCCAATATGCTTCGTGACATTTTTACAAATGTTGTCTATATGATGAATCCATTTACAACCGGCATCTAGGAAAATGCCTAAATGTTTATAATGCTCAATAAAATCGAAATAATTAACAAAAACTAAATTTATGTCAAGTTCCGTACTGGTATTTGAAATAAGAAGTGCTTCCGTTTTATCGGGATTAAACTTTTCAAGCCAATTTTCTGCCCAGTTTTGAATTGTTTCAGGATCTCTGTTAGTGGTGGTTTCCTGTTCGATTAGGGAGTGGGAAGTATCATCAGCAAATAGGCGTGAAACACTGTCGAGATTATCCGTTATATCATTTATATACAAAAAAAAAAAAAAAAAAAGACGTGGACCTAAGACAGAACCCTGTGGTACACCAGCAATTGTTGTTTTGGTACGAGAAGTAACATTATGAATAAAGACCTATTGGGAACAATTTTGAAAGTAATCGGATAGCCAGTTTAAAAGGGTTCCGGTGATTCCATAGCTAGACTATATGCTGATGATTCTGCTCTTCAAAAATCGTCTGAAAATTTAATGAAATCGAGCAAAAAATAAATCGGGATTTGCACCATCTTCAAACTTGGTCTGGTCAATGGATTATGCAGTTAAATCCTGCAAATACAGAGGCAGTTATCTTCCCTTCTAAACATATCCCAATTAAGCCAAATTTGGTATGCAACGGTGAGCCGATTGAGTTCAACAACTCACATTGTCATTTAGGAGTAACTCACAGTAATAATTGCAAATAGAAGACCACATAAACCATTTGATCAAATCTTCTTCTCCAAAAGTTATTGCTTTGAAAAAACTTAATTATTAAGTAGATACGTCTATTCTCAATACTATATATGTATCATTTACACGACCTATGATTGAATATGTCTCGTGTGTTTGGATGGATGTTCGGAACACTTGTCCGACTCCCTAGAAGAAGTTCAGTTAGAAGCAGTTAGAATCGTCTCTGGCTTCACCTCCATTGCTTCTCGTGACTCTTTATATACTGAAACAGGTTGGAATCCGCTCAAACATAGAAGAGTCAAAGCTTACCACATTGTACAAAATACATAACAAAATCGTCCCTCTATACTTAGAGAGCTTGATACCACCTAATAGGCGTGACTATTAAGTCCCCAGAAGTCGTCTTGATATTATGAAAAAGTCTTTTGTTCCGTCGTCTATAAATTTGTGGAATAATTTAGACAATTCTACAAAATCGGCTGTATAAACATTCTGAACCCGCATACGCTCTTCATTTTCCGATTATTTACATTCTAATAATAGATACCTCTCTGTCATTCATGGCCGCATTAGACATTAGTGTAGTGTCTTACGTTCAGATTTATATAGGGTAGGTATTTGTCAATCCCCGAATTGTCCGTGTTGTGATGGAATTGAAGACGTAAGTCATTATTTCCTTATATGGTCATTATTTTTCTAATTATAGACGCATACTGTTTGATACTTTGTATGATTGGGACGTATATTTTAGCATAGAAACTATCTTATGGGGCGACAGTGATACTTATTTATATGAAACTAATTGTAATATGTAAGATATGTTCATAAGTTCATAAAACAAAGCGTTTTAACACTACCTAATTATGAGCTGTTTGTAGTTGGCACTGAATTTATTTTTAATTGATATAAAATCTATCTTATCTCTTTTTCTCTTATACATTATTCTTTCTCTCTTATCATCTTTTCTTCCTTTTGACAAAATGATTTAAACATACAATTGTACGTCTACGAATTACTTATCTTTTTGTTTATAGTATAAGTCTTTGTCACGTGCAGTATATTAATTATTTGTAATTTTCTTTATGGAGAAGAGTTTATAAGTTACTAGAACTTGCCTCTGATCCATTTATCTGCTACTGATGATAAAATATGTTAAAATCAACTGTTACGCGTCATTCCCTGTTGTACAATAAAATAGGTACGCGTTTTTTTTTTTTTTTTTTTTTATTTATTTTATTGCAGAAAGTTCGTACAATAGGATTGGACACAAATTTTACCAACTTATAAAGCCCTCTCCATTACATAGTTTATATACCAATACTTAAACAACAAGCAATGTGACAATATATGCATATGATAATCATTTTTGATCGAAACAAAACGGAAGGCCTGAAGAGAAGGAAGGAGGGTAGGTGAGGAGGGTAGGTGAGGAAGGAAGAAGGGAGTATATAGTACAAAGGAGGAAAGGAATGCAGATAACTAGCCAAATCGCTCAGATGTATCAATAAATTATTGAACAGTTCTAGCTAAAAGAGAGTTTTCAGCTGAACTTAGCCTTACGTCCCCGTTTAAAAGAACGTTTATCAAAATATCACCCGGATACCACGACAGTTCGGTAAATAGGGTGTTATGAATTTGTATATAGTTGGTACAGCGAAGTAAGTAATGAAAGGAGTATTCGGAGGGATGTCCGCAGGAGCAAGATGCAGAGTTCGTGAGATTGGCTCTGAATAGGTCATAACTGAGATACGCGTTATTTTTGTGTAAGATGATAAAATAGCTACACGTCATCCTGTGGTTGAACATAAAACAGTTACGCGTCAGTTAGCGTTAGTAAAAAAAATAGTTACGCGTCCACCCGCGTTAGATAATAAAACATTTACGCGCCATTCCGCTTAAGATAATAAACTAGTAACGCGTCATCCCGCGTTAGATAAAAAAACAGTTACGCGTCATTCCGCGTTAGATAATAAAATAGTTACGCGTCATCCCGCGTTAGATAATAAACTAGTAACGCGTCATTCCTCGTTAGATAATAAAACAGTAACGCGTCATTCCGCG